GAGTTATGTCTGAAATGCTGGCGGAAAAGTCGTTAGAGAGACTGCGGGATGTAGTGATGGAAGTAGTGAGGCCTGCCGTGCCTGTCCCGATTGCAGCCGTGGAGACTCCTAATCCTACAAGCCAGGGGATTAACGGAATGTGTGTAGGAGTTACAATGGGACAGGGAGGTGTTTATTTCCATTGGCAAACTGGATTTTGGGAGTAAGGAAAATTAAGGTACAGGTGCCTGAATAGTTGGTAGAAAGGCAGAGGTAAGTGGAAGAGCCACAAAGGAAGAAAAGTCCTTGGCTTAGGCAGAACTGGAAGTGTAGACTGAAAAGGTGAGAAAGTGTTCCAGAGGAGCTAGGGTTTTGTACCCAGATACCAAGAGAACCAGCAAGGGCCGTGGCTGTTAAAGGTTGTAGTGGGGTTTGATAGGGTAATTGTGTGGAAAGAGAGGTCTTGTTTTCAAGGTGTATGAGAAAGCACTTCTTTGTTTAACAAATAATCAGGCATAATAAAACCCTGATTATTTGTTAAACAAAGAAGTGGTGCTGACTTTTTGGGGGTCCTGTAAAGCGGACAGGTTGGCTAAATAAAGCAGCTTGGGTGACTAGAAAGTTTTGATAGTTGGTTGGGGCTTGGAGTTTTAAGGTAAAGTTGCATTGATGGAGTAGGAGGTGGCCAAGAGGTAGGCCGGAGGGTAGATTGTGTTGGAAGCCAGAAGGAGCCTGAAAAGTTAAAACAGTATTTGTGGTTACAGAACCATGTATGGGTTTGTTATTACCTGTATATGGAGTGAGGTTGGAAATGTAGGGGCGCAGAAGCTGTACATACTCCTTTTAGGGTATATTTGATCCTGTTAGTGATGGATGACTGCGTATTTAAGAGTTGAAAGGAGATTTTTAGCGAGGGTGATAAGCTAGGTGAGTTAAGAACCCAAGTGTTTGCAGGGACCGCAGTAGCAGTATAAGTTGTAGCTGATAGAGAGATGCAAAGCCCAGCGACCCTTTGCTAGGGTTGGGTTGGGCTGGTTTAGGAAAGAATGGGTTAAGTGAAGGGTTTTGTTGAGGTAGTTGGAAATAATAGGTGCAATTATGTGGGGCAGCCAAGGAAGCAGGAAGAATAGGCAGACAAAGAATGGGGAGGGAAGTAAACAGCTGTACTTTGTTGGGGGAAAAGTTACATGGGGTACCTTGGAAAAGAAGGGTGTTTATTCATTTTAGAAGAGTGTTAAGGGTGGCAGCGGGGGGTGGCACCATGAAAAGTCTTGGCATACAGAATGGAGGAAGAAGGTGAAGCAGCAAGACAGGAGCAGGGCGTTCAAGGTTTTCAGGAATTCAGGTGACTTTTAGAGAAGTTGGAGAGAGTACAGGGGTTTGGCACTACAGGATGGATGGGGAGCACAATCTGATTAATAAGGCGAAGGTTTTGCACTAACCTGTAGGTCTTGTCCGGTTTTTGGACGGGCAGGATGGGGGTATTGTAGGGAGAGTTGGTGGGAACTAAAAGGCCAGGTTGTAGTAAGCGAGTAATAACAGGCTTTAGGCCTTTTAAGGCATGTGCTGGGATGGCGTGCTGGTGCTGGGCAGGATAAGGTGGTTAGGTTTTAAGGGGATGATGAGGGGTGAGTGAGCAAGGGGTGGGGAGGTGGTGTCCCACACCCTAGGGTTAATGTAGGGGGACATAAGGGGAGCTATTGAGGGAGGTACAGGTTCCAGGAGGAGGGCGTCAGTGAGGTGCGGCTGTAGCCCAGGACTAGTGAAGGAGGCAGACGATTTTGCTAGGCTATCTCAGCCTAACAGGGGAACTGGACACGTGGGGATGATTAGGAAATAATGTGGAAAGGAGTGCTGGCCTAATTGACACCAGACTTGGGGAGTTTTGAGAGGCCTGGAGGCCTTGCTGTCAATTCCCACAACAGTTATGGAGGCCAAGGAGACAGGTCCTTGAAAAGAAGACGGCGTGGAGTGGGTGGCCCCCGTGTTGATTAAGAAGGGGGTGGACTTACCCTCCACCATAAGAGTTGCCCAAAGCTCGGTGTCCCTGATGGTCCAGGGGGCCTCCAAGATGTTTGGGCAGGGTCGGTTTTCAGCCGCCAAGCCAAGGAGATCTGGGCAGGATTCGGTCCAGGAGCTCTGGGAGCCGCAACGTGAGTCAAAAGGTCCGACTTTCCATGGGGGCCCGCACAGACGGGGCAGGTCTTAGGAGGAATCCCAGGCTGCAGGCATTCCTTGGCCCAGTGGCCAGGTTTCCGACACTTGAAGCAAGGTCTGGGAGGGGCGGCTGGACACCACAGTCTGGGCACTTTGAAGTCTTTGTGAGCTGGTGGTGTGGTTGCAGTTTGTCTTACAGCAGAGCCCAGCATCTGTAGTTCTGAGATGCGCTGCCACCGGGCAGCTTTTTCCCTGTTACTGAACACCTTAAGGTGAGGTTGATTAATTCCTGTTGTGGGGTTTGAGGGCCAGTTTCTAATTTCTGTAGCTTTTTAATGTCAGGGGCTGATAGGGTGATAAAATGCATATTAAGCATTCTTCAGGGGTGAGAGTGGAAGTAAGGATGACATTTAAGTCACTCTAGGTGAGGTTATGGGCCTGGGTTAAGCACTGGAACTCTTGTATATATTTAGTAGAATCTGATGAAAAGGAGCCTAACAGTTGGTTGATCTGGGAAAGGTTGGATAAAGAGAAAGGAACGTGTATCCTAACTGTGCCTTCGGCTCCAGCCACCTCTCGAAGTAGGAATTGTTGGGCAAGGGCGAGGAGGTCACCACGGAACTAAACTGTAAGCCAGACCGGATATGAGGTGGGAGGTGGCAGGAGGGGCATTAGGAGGTGGGTCGTGGGCAGAGGAAGAGGAGGGAGGCTTTGCAGGTGGGGGGGTGGTTAGGGCGTGGATTAGGGTCTGGTTCGGACAGGTGGGGAGGAGAGAGGTCGGAAGGGTCAATGGACAAGGAGGATTCTGAGTTACTGTTGGAGGCAGAAGGGGCAGACAGAAGGGAGAGAAGGAAAATTTGGGACAGGTTGCATTGAGAGTAGAGATTAGGGTGGGATTGGAGTATAAAAAAATGCCTGGACGTCGGACCCCTTAGACCATTTGCCCATTTGTTGAAAAAAATGGTCTAGGTCTCACGGAATAGAAAAATCAAAAGTGCCGTTTTCTGGCCATTTGGAACCATTGTCTAATTTGTATAGAGGCCAGGCTGTGTTACAGAAAAGAGTGAGACACTTAGGTTTCAGATCTGGGGACAGTTGAAGAGGTTTTAGGTTTTTTAGGATGCAGGCTAGAGGCGAAGATAGAAGAATAGAGGGCAGAATTTTGCCCCTGGTGAAGGAGATAAGTTTTAAGGAGAGAAGTCGTGTAGAGAGGAGAAGGAGTGAGAAGTTACCAGGGTTTTCAGTAGGTGTCCCTGACTGAATCCTGGGCCGTAACGTGAGTGAGTGATCAACGCAGGCGTCCCTGTGATTTACCAGACACCAAGGGAACACTGTCTTCCCGAGTCTGTGACCAACGTTGGAGTTTTTGAGCAAGAGAGAGAGACTTGTCTCCTCTGCCTCTACATGGATAAAGAGTGTCTCCTTTGTCTCTAAGGGAAAAGAGAGAGAAAGAGGGAGAAACTTGTCTCATTTTCTCTACCTAGAAGAAGGATTTAAAGGAAAAGAGAGAGAAAGAAGTAGAGACTTGTCTCCTTTTCTTTAAAAGAAAAGAGAGAAACAGGGAGAGACTTGTCTCCTTTTCTCAAAAGGAAGAGAGAGAAAGAGGGAGAGACTGTTTACCCAATCTGAATGTGGCAAGAGGGTTGCTGGGCTGCTCTGATGTGCTGAGGTGCAGGTGGTTCTCTTCACAGAGGGAGAGCAGGGACAGGGGGTCGGTCTCCCAAAGGAGTACCCCTGCCCAGGTTTTGACACCAAATGTTAAGCATGCTTTAAATGAATAGATCCACCAAAACAGGCTTTGTGTGAGTAACATGGCTGTTTATTCTCCCGGGTGCGGGCGGGCTGAGTCAGAAAAGAGAGTCAGCGGAGGATGGTGGGATAGGAGTTGGTTTTATAGGTTTGGGGCTGGCAGTGGAAAATTACGGAAGTCAACAGTTCAGGGTGGTTTTTGCAAGCTGGGGTCGGGGTGTTGTGGGGGAGGGGTATCACAAACTCCAAGGTCCAGTGTCACAGTTGACTTATCTGTTGAGTCAGGAAGGGTTGAGGCAGGAACAATGGCAGAATGTTGCAAGTTGGTTAATCAGGTCACAGGGTCCAATGTCACAAGGTTGACTCAGACTTTCTGGCTCCGGAGTCCATCTGGAGGTGTATGTGTGAGTCACAGGGGTTACCATGGCTTAGTGCATGGTGCAGTCAGTTCAAAGAACCTTGCAGTTACCATACTGGACAGAATGTTCCAGGTAGAATAGGAATAGTAGCCAGATAGAATAGCAACTGTCGCAGAGCTAAACTGCTGTGCTTTTATTTATTATTATTATTATTATTATTATTGAGATGGGGTCTCTGTCACTCAGGCTGGAGTGCAGTGGCATAGTCATGGTCACCACAGCCTTGACCTCCAGGGTCAAGTGATCTTCAGCCTCAGCCTCCCAAAGAGCTGGACCTACAGGTGCATGCCACTATGTTTGGCTAATTTTTTAATTTTAATTTTAATTTTGTAGAGATGGAGTCTCACTGTATTGCCTAGGTTGGTAGGGAACTCCTCAGCTCAAGTGATCCTCCTACGCAGGCCTTCTAAATTTTCGGGATTATAGGTGTGAGCCACAGTCCCTGGCCTGCTGTCCCTTTAGTTATAAGTAACAGAAAGCCTGACTTAAACAACAAGGATATGCACTGGCTCACTCTGTTGTCTGGCAAATCCAGCAGCTCCTACCAGCGCCCTCTTCCCTGGCCACCTACCATTATAGAACCACATACTTGTTTTCATAAATTCCTACTTCTGACTAGTGAGACACAGAAAAGTCCGCTTAGGGGCTTTGGGAAAGTTTTCCTCTTTTAGAAAACAAATATGCGGTGCCGGGGAGCCAGTGGTTGCAGGGACCCCTTCTTCCTGTCTTGAAAGTGATGCCTGGAGTCACAGCAACCTTCGACCTTGAGGGGACAAGCATGAGGGCACAAACCCAGTGTGCTTAAGATGGTGTTACAGAGAGATTAAGAGCTGTGCTCTTACTTCCTTACTCCTGATTATGTGAGAAAATTACACACAGCCCCACTCCTCATTTGTGGCCAAAGGCATCCTAACTGATTGCACTCAGCTAAGTAGAAGTGCAGAGATAGGGCAGGACTCAGGATTCTCCCAGACCAATGGCTCCCCCCACCCCCACTTTTCCTTTATTTCTTTGGGCCCTGCCCTCTTCTGTGAGTGTTGGGTTCATCCTTACGCCAGAAGCAAAATGCAGCTGAAATGTAGCACCACACATTTACACATCTCAGTGTCAGGATTCACAGCTTCCCTTCCACACTGGACAGTGCCCCATGTCATAGAGTGATCTCCTTCTAGAAGCTTATCCGGAGTAATGATAAAACACGTTCTCAGAATCCTCCAGTAAACATCTTTTTACATTTCAGGGGCCAGAGTTTTGCCCCACACTCAATACTGAACTAGTTTCTGCCGGGGAGATCAACTTGCTCATCAGACCCTTAGGAAGCAAGGGCGGGGTCAGCTTCCCTTAAGTCTAAGGAGCTTGAGGAAAGAGGCAGATAACAGAAACAAAACTGGGACTCAGTTAGGAAGGAGTGGTCACTTTAAAGGTGTCCAGAACTGTTCGTTGTAGCCAAATGGGTAGAGTGTCAGAGCTTCCTAAATTGTAAATATCGTTAATGGTTACTAAGGATCAACTTTCAAGTATCTGCTATAAAAGTTTAACCCGTTTTTTCAGTTTTCTACGAGAATATTTCCAGGCACCATTCTGTCACTATAATATAATGAAATCTCCTTAACTATTTATTGGTAAAGCATTTTAAGAGAATTTATTTTCCTGAGCTTGTTATAGTTTGTGTACTGTATAGTTGAATGATGACTGTCAAGTGTCCAGGTCAGAGTCCATTCTTTCTCCTGCTGTCTATTAGCAATGTTGCAAGAATGTGAGCTAAAATGGGCCTGGCATATTGTCATCCAGTGGTTAATTATTAAAAACAAAACAAACAACTCTTTTAGGATTGGGTCTATTTGGAGCTTCATAAAAGAGGACACTCATATGACCAGTAAAAGGCACACAACGTTATTAGTCATCAGGAAAATGCTAATTAAAGCCACAATGAGATACCACAGTGGCTAGAATTTAAAAGACTGATAGTGACCAGAATTCAGAAATGTTGGCAGTTTATATACTGAAAACACTGTTTTTGTGAGTATAAATTGGTTCAACCACTTGGAAAACTGGCAGTCTCTACTAAAAGTAAATAGTACAACTCCCTGTGACCCAGCAGGTCCACTCCTGGGAAGAAAGGCAGACAAATACTCACTGAAAGACATGTACAGGATCATTTAAAACAACTTTATTCATAGTTATCTCAAGCTGGAAACAATTCAAATGCCCATCAACAGAATGGATAAATAAACTGTGGCATATTCGTGCAATCAAACACTACACAGCAGTAAGAGAAAGGAGTTACTGATATATACAACAATATAGTTGAGTCTCACATGCATAATCTTTAAGGAAAGAGTGAAATTACTGTGATATTATGGGGTTCAAGAACAGGTGAAACTCATGTATGGTTTACAGGTCAGAATAGTGGTGAAAGGTGGGTTTGGACAAGAGGGAACCTTCTGGAGACCTGGAACTGTTTTATATATGCATCCAGGTGGGAGTTATGTGGGTATAAAAATCAGAGTTGAACACTGAAGAGTAGTGCATGTTACACACATTATACTATGTGTTGCCTCAGTAAAAATGTTAAAAAAAAATTGGGCCCGTCAAGCTAACGGGATGTGACAGACCTCTACTCTATGTCTTTGTGTTAATATTGCATGGTAGTTGTGGCTGTATGTTGTTTGACCATTTGACTGTAATCCCAAATACACTTATGCATAATACAGTTTTTTTATGGTCACAGAAAGATTACATTTTGCATACTGCAGGCCCACCTGCCTGTGATGCCCGCTGGGGGATATTTTAACTGCCATCTTGTCAGTGGGGCCGTGTAAGTAACTAGTGTCTTGGATGCGTTTACTTTCCTGGGTGGGCATGTAAATCAGTCCTGCTATGAACAGGGAGACTTTGATATCCTACCGTCTTTTGGGTATCATGGTGTAGCATAGTGTGCATAAGGAAAATCAGTAATGTTTCTGTCCAACTTGGAGTAGAAATACAAGTCCAGATCATACTCATTTACATTGGTCTTTCTTTCTCCTCTTCTTTCCCTTTCCTTTCCTTTCTGGGTTTTTGTTTTGTTTTCTTTTTATTTAAAAACAAATTTAACTGTGATAAAAAACACAAAACATAATTTGCCATCTTAACACTTCTTAAGTGTACAGTTCAGTAGTGTTAAGCACATTAATATGTTGTAAACAATTTCTGGAACTTTGTCAATTTGCAAAACTGAAACTCCATATTCATTAGACAACAACAACTTCCCGTTTCTCTTTCCTTCCAGTCCCTGGTAGCCACAGTTCTACTTTCTGTTTCTATGAAATTGACTATTTTAAATACCTCATATAAGTAGAATCATAAAATACCTTTTTTTTTTTTTTGTGGCTGGCTTATTTCACTTAGCATAATGCCCTCAATATTCATCCACGTTTTTGCAACATGTGTCAAGATTTCCTTCCTTTCTAAGATGAAATAGTACTGCATTGTATGCATATGCCACACTTTGTTTATACATTCATCAGTAGATCTTTTGTTTACTTTTAACACCTTTTCCTCCATCCCTCAATTTCCTCCAGGGCGGTGTTATTCAAGCATTTTTTCATTATAGCTCTTTCCGACATTTTCAGACTTGTAGCTAACCCAGCTTGCTCACCACCCATGAAATTTAAATACCACAGATAATACTGTATATCCTTTTTTGTATTGTATGTGTATCTGTGCTTTGTATGTGAAAATAATAAACATTTTTACTCCCCTCAAAACTATCTTCTTTCCTTTGGGGACAACATTGCCCCAAATGTATGTATGCTATAGAGAATGTATGCTATAGAGAAAACCAATTCCAGATTAATACATATAGGTGTAGCCCCAAGTTTATTAAATACATGGTAATGGAAGAAGTGGTAGAAAATTGGAGAAAATCTTAAACTCACCTCTCTCTTCTCTGTTCCCACCAAACTCCCAACATCTCCTGCCCTCCCTTAAACAAACAAATAAACATACAAAAAGAAAGAAAGAAGTACATTTGCAATATGGCTAGTATAAATGTACAATAGCCATATGTGGCTACTGGCTTCTCTATTGTATAGTGTAAAATTGAACATTTGCATTATCACAGAAAGTTGTAATGGACAGTGCTGCTTTACCAGTTGCATTTAGATGAATTCCAAGAGCCTCTGATGGCCTCCAAGATCCATCATCTACTTACTGCAGCAATTACCTCCTCTTTCAGCTTCGTAGGCACCTGGCAGTTCTTGAACAGTAAAGCTCAGAGCTTTTGCACATGCTGTTTCATGGCCTGGACACCTACCCTCCTCTTCACTGGGCTAACTGCTCACTATTTAGATCTTGTCTTAAATGTCAATTCCAACAAAGACTTGTCTTGACATCTACAATCTAGGCAGTGTTCTCCTGTTACATGCTTTCTTATATTCTCTACTTTTTCTTTGTAAGAAGAAAAATCTTTTAACTGTAATGTTTGTGTGATTATCGATTTACTTAATATTCATCTCCCTAACAGACAATGAACTTCTGGAAGGTGAGGATAATGGCCACCATTTCACCATCAGCCTCCTGATGCCCAGCATAGGGTAGATGCTATATGAACAATAGAACTGAGGTATGCTGAAAGTCCAGATCCAGTGGGAAAGCACCTATGTGTTGGGTGTGTGAAAATTCAAAGCAGTTCTTTATCACTGTAGGATGACTGTAGTTTACAATAACATATAGTTCAAATAGCTAGAAGGAGGATATTGAACATTCCCAACACAAAGAAATAATAAATGTTGGAGACGATGGATGTGCTACGCACCCTCATCTGATCTCACTATACATTATAGGTGTTGAAGCATCACTGTTAATGTGCACATTATTAATATGTCAATTTAAAAAATAAAATAAGGCCGGGCGCGGTGGCTCAAGCCTGTAATCCCAGCACTTTGGGAGGCCGAGGCGGGTGGATCACGAGGTCAAGAGATCGAGACTATCCTGGTCAACATGGTGAAACCCCGTCTCTACTTAAAATACAAAAAATTAGCTGGGCATGGTGGAGCGTGCCTGTAATCCCAGCTACTCAGGAGGCTGAGGCAGGAGAATTGCCTGAACCCAGGAGGCGGAGGTTGCAGTGAGCCGAGATCGTGCCATTGCACTCTAGCCTGGGTAACAAGAGTGAAACTCTGTCTAAAAAAAATAAATAAATAAATAAATAAATAAAATAAAATAAAATAAAAAATTCTAGAAAAATGTTGCCGGGAGCTGCGGGTGAGGGAGGGGGGTTGTTCTATATCATGACTGTGGTTGTGGTTACATGACTGTAAATTTGTTAAATGAATTGAACACTGAATATAGGTGAATTTCATCATTTGTAAATTGTACCTCAATAAAATTTATCTTAATGAAAAAAAAAAAAAAAAGAAAAAAGAAACCGGCTGGGTGCAGTGCTCACGCCTGTAATCCCAGCACTTTGGGAGACCTGAGAAGGATCACCTGAGTGATCACCTGAGCTCAGGAGTTCGAGACCAGCTTGGCCAACACAGTGAAACCCCATCTCTACTAAAAATACAAATATTAGCCTGGCATGGTGCTGCATGCCTGTAATCCCAGCTAGTCGGGAGGCTGAGGCAGGAGAATCACTTAAACCTGGGAAGGGGGAGTTTGCAGTGAGCCGAGATCATGCCACTACTGCACTCCAGCCTGGGTGACAGAGCGAGACTCTGTTTCAAAAAAAAAAGAACCCCACCCAAATGCAGTCAAGAGACCCCACATACCCACATATTAGGGAGGGAGATAATTATTTATGGTGTTTACTTTTTGCTGTGAGAATGACTTTTAGAACATAGATTTTACAAAAACAGTTTGGAGCTGGACTGGTCAAACTGGTTGTAGAAACATCTTTGATGTGCATGTAAGTTGGGTGTAATTGAGGCAATAAATAGAGGAGGAATAAGTTAAAGTTGATGGGCAACGGGGATAAGTTGCACTCATAAGCCCCAGGTTTAGTGCAGGCCGCTTTACTGGGCTTTGGTCAGCTTGGGCAGGTTGGTGAGACAGCTGAGTGGGCTGATGGCAAAGTGATCGGGTCTTGTTTTATTTAAATGCACTGGGTAGGGAAGACTTGGGTGCAGCACCTTATACTTTGCTAGGGGACTTCTGATAGATTTTGAATGAGTTTCTTAAGAAAATCCCGTTCTTCTCTTCCCACATTCGTATCTGTTTCTCCAAGAAAAAAACAAAAAACAAAACACATCGAAGTCCCTAGGATGTATTCTGACTTTGGATTTTTATCCCTGACTGTGGCACCTGTCCTGTGGGGAAGAGGAAAGAGTCACTTTTCAGAGAGAAAGAGAGAAAGAAAGAAAAAAGAAAGAGAGAGAGAGGAAGGAAGGAGGGAGGGAAGGCAGGAAGAAAGGTGAGGGAGGGAAGAGGAAGGAAAGAAAAAAGAAAGAAAGGAAGGAAGGAGGAAAGAGGGAAGGAAGAAAGGGAGGGAGGGAAGGAACGGGCATGGTGGCTCACACCTATAATCCCAGCACTTTGGGAGACTGAGACAAGTGGATGACTTGAGGTTAGGAGTTCGAGACCAGCCTGGCCAACATGGGGAAACCCTGTCTTTACTAAAAATACAAAGGCATGGTGGTGCATGCATGTAATCCCAGCTACTCAGGAAGCTGAGGCAGGAGAATGGCTTGAACCCAGGAGGCAGAGGTTGCAGTGAGCCGAGATCGCATCGGTGCACTCCAGCCTGACTTCATCTCACCAAAAAAAAAAAAAAAAAAAAAAAGGAGTTATTATTTCCAGCCTCAACTTTGATCTGTCGCCACTGCCGGCATTCCAGAGTTTATCTTGGATCATTGACTGCTTTTGGGCTCTTTTGGCAACCCTAAATGAAAAAAGCAAGCAAGCAAACAAACCCCTGAAAAATAAAAAAAGTAAACAAATTTGTTTTCAAGAATTCAAGTAGTATCCAGATAATGTATGAAGGGAAAGCCTTCCTCTCTGTCCATTTTAGTAACAGCTCCCGCATAGGCCATTCCTGTTGCCAATCTCTGCGTTTTGCTCTAATCCTGTAAGTCAGTTACAGAATTTCCTCTGTATACGTATACACAATGAGTCATAAAAACCACAACCACCTGGATCTGCTCTGTTTCACACTTGCTTGTTTCAAAATCTTCTCAGCGCATTTGCATTTTTCTTGCATCTTCTTCCTTTTTCTTGCATCTTCCTCATGTGTAGCTTAGCAGCCTCTGACACCTTCCATCAACTGGAGTTTGAATTCTTATAGGGACATAGTGAAAGTTTGAAAGCCAGCCAGGCAGCTGTGCAACTGTCTTTATGTATCTTACAGCTTTTGCACAATTAACAAAACTGAAAGTGCAGGGCAAAGTGCTCAGTGCCAGCCAAAATAGCACACGCTCTAGTGATTTTACTGGGTGCTGATCTTTTAGCCTCTGTCTTGGCTCTTGAGAGTGTAGTTTAGCTCTTAAAGTGAGGTCACCTAGGTTGGAATTCTTGCATCACCAGTTTCTTTGTGATCGTGGCAAGTAGCTTAACCTCTCTTTGTTTCACTTCACCTACGTGCAAAATAGAGACAGTCACGCTGACCTCAGGGGGTGGCTTCTTCTTCTTCCTTTTTTTTTTTTTTTTTGAGACAGTGTCTTACTCTGTTGCCTAAGCTGGAATGCAGTGTTGCAATCTCGGCTCACTACAACCTCCATCTCCTGGGCTTAAGCGATTCTCGTACCTCAACCTGAGTAGCTGGGACTACAGGCATACACTACCATGCCTGGCTAATTTTTTTATTTTTAGTAGAGATGGGGTTTTCATCATGCTGGCCAGGTTGGTCTCAAACTCCTGACCTCAGGTGATGTGCCCTCCTTGGCCTCCCAAAGTGTTAGGATTATAGCTGTGAGCCGCTGCACATGGCTGGGCCTTCTTAGAAGAAGGAAAAGACATACTGATGTAAAGCACATAGTAGGTACTTAGTAGATATTATCTATGAAGAGTGTTGTCATTATGGTAAATTATCACCATTTGTATTTAATAATTTCATCTTGTAAACAGACCACCAGTTGGCCAGTTTTTTTTTTTTTCCTAAAGACCCAACAACTGAGCCATCTGTATTCTGTGGTGGAGATACAAAACATTCTTCTGTGTAATGAGAATGTAACTCTCAATGAATCCTATTAGGAAGAAAAAGGCCTTCTGTATGGTTGGCATTCTTCCTTTCACCTTTGATGTGATTGTACCAAGAAAAAGCAGAAACATAGGTGGGTGAATACATTTGTTGTTTGCCCACATAACATTAACAGCTGACTGTTGGTTTCTAAAGGAGTATGAAAAATAATCTTGAAATGAAGAGTTTTTTTGTATTTGTAAATACTGTGGAAACGTTTTGTGTTTGAATTCTTAAACCCTTAAAGAGTCTCTTTGATGACATTTGTGGTCTGATTAGTAAAGGGGTACATTGTAGAGTAATTAGAGATTCAGAAAAACAAGGAGGAAAATTAAAATCCTGCTAAAATACCAATGGTGTGGCTTTTAACATTTTGGCATATTTTCAATACCTTTTGTGTATTTAAAACAATTTGGGATTATATGCCTTTTCAACCCTATAGGCTTGTATTTTTCATTTACTAACTTGCTCTATCATTAAATGTTCTTTTACAGAATGATGTTTTTTGTCAGACAAAGTTTTGCTCTTGTCACCTAGGCTGGAGTGCAATGGTGTGATCTTGGCTCACGGCAACCTCTGCCTCCTGGGTTCAAGTGATTCTCCTGCCTCAGTCTCCTGAGATGCTGGGATTACAGGTGCTCGCCACCATGCCCAGCTAATTTTTGCATTTTTAGTAAAGACGGGGTTTCACCATGTTGGCCAGGCTGGTCTTGAACTCCTGACCTCAGGTGATCCTCCTGCCTCAGGTGATTGGCCTCCCAAAGTGCTGGGATTACAGGTGTGAGCCACCACGACCGGCCTTTTACAACATGATTTTATTTTATTTTTTGGAGACAGAGTCACTCTCTGTCACCTGGGATGGAGAGTAGTGAGATGATCTTGGCTCACTGCGGCCTCTGCCTCCTGGATTCAAGCGATTCTCCTGCCTTAGCCTCCCGAGTAGCTGGGATTATAGGCATGCGCCACCATGCCTGGCTGATTTTTGTATTTTTAGTAGACATGGGGTTTCACCATGTTGGCCAGGCTGGACTCGAACTCCTGACCCTCAGGTGATCTGCCTGCCTAGGCCTCCCAAAGTGCTGGGATTATGGGTGTGAGGCACCATGCTCAGACACAATGTGATTTTTAGAAATAACTGTGTGCTGTTCCACCATATGAATCTTCTGTTACTGATTTAAACCCATTATGTATTATGGAACATTCAGAGTTATTTCCAGTTTTTCACTGCGGTGAACATTCATGAAGCTAAACCCGTTCATGACGAATTCTATTTCCCCTGTAAGCAGTATCCCCAACATTTAGTGTCATTATTTTACTTTCCAATGATATTTTGTTGTTCAATTTTTGATTTACTTATGCACTACTGAGGGTGATCCTGTTTACCTACTTTTCATATATTTAGTAGCAATTACTTGATGTTTATTTGTGAATTGTTTCTTTAGGACCCTTATACATTTTGATCAGAATGTTAGTCTTTTCTTGCAGTGAAAAGCTATTTATAAAGGAGGGATATGAACTGTTTGTTTGTCAGTTATTACAATAATTATCTTGTTTTAGTTGTCTGATCATGGCCAGCTTAAACAATATTTATTGGACAAATGGCCAACAATATTTGAAAGAAAAGCATATCTTTATTCCCTAGTACATCAGTTCTTTAATTTTTTTTCATGTTCTTAGTCATCCCTGTGTAAATAGTAGTCATGTAATTTAGAGATTAATAAATGAAAAGCA